CCATTTTCAAAATTTTCATATGTTTAGACATCGAGATGTATGACTATGAAAAATAAAAAGATTTTAAGTCTAAGAAATAATATATTTTACATCGTCCATTTTCAAGATTTTCATATGTTTATAGATCTACTTTATTTTAACCATTTTTGAAATTTAAAATTTTATAACAAGGTATAAAAAATAGATTTTGAGATAATCCTAATAACATTTTACATCAAAATTATATATATCATGAAGGGCACCTTACCTCTACACCCGTCCGTATGCCAACTGCACCTTTTTTTAAAACCCTTCACTTTTTTCTGCATAAAAGGAAAAAGCATATTATGATGAGACTTTAGTTTCAAATAATAAGTGTGGTTGGATATGTACATGATGCCATCTGATGCCAAACTGAGGCGTGGCAGCCTTCTATCAGCACATAAGGTGGGCTAGGTGCAGTGACTTGTACACTTCGTTTACAAAACATACTACTAGTCTTTTAAACCTGAACTCTAAGAAACTGCATCAATAAATTCCCAATAATGAGAATTGTCACTTGTATCACGGGTAAAATGAGAAAACTAGAAACAAATTTATTGGATATAAGTTAACCAGCGGTACAGATTCTTGCCCCTAAGGTCATCAGTCCAAACAATGCAACCACAAATTTCTTGGATATATATTGCACACGCATAAAACAAACTATTAACACAATGAAATAATAGTGATTTTATTGGGGAATCCATTGTTTCGGATGCTTGAAGAATCTGTGTCACCGAATATGCGTTCGTCCTAAAGACCAAATTCCAGTGTCACGAACAGGAGTCTGGCAAATCAAAGAAAACCCAATTGGTTATATTTCTCCTTAGTGGACCAAACATGCATTTTGAAGTGATCGCACAAGGAAAGCAGATGTATAATACCTGTGTTTTTGCAGAAGGAAAGATATTCCAAAATCTTAGAGTCTCATCACCAGCACCAGTCACAATTGTCTGCAAAAATTCCAGTATGTGAAAATCACAGTTTTCTGTAGCCCACTGACAATGTATAAAATACATATGTCATACATGCATAGAGATAGATACAAAGTTATATACAATATTTGTTTTACCTGTCCATCGGGTGAAATGGCAAGATAGAGAACTCTCATGCTGTGGCCTGTCAAGGTTGCAACCTGTCCACCAAACAAATGTCTCAGTTCCAAATTGTGGTACTAACCATCCTTTTCGGAAGTAACTTAGGATAAGACATTCTAAGTAGCAATTTTTTACATTGTTGCATCAGTTCTAATTCTCCTGAAATCAATTCAAGGAACTGTTTTCAACATGAGGAAAACTAGTTTTATTAATATGCTTCAACTTCAAATGTAAATTCCAAGATATGAATGTAAGACCAGTTTTATTAATATGCTTCAACTTCAAATGTAAATTCCAAGATATGAATGACCAGTTTTATTAATATGCTTAACTGTAAATATACATCCCAAAGTGTATGACTATATCATGTGGCCAATTTTGAAATAGACTCTACATTAACGGAACTTGCAATATATAGTTTTTCCTTCGAGGTCCATGTTTAAACATTGAAGTTCAAGGATGTTTCTGAATCTCCAGCCTTATATGAAATTCTGGTCGAACTTTGGGACAAGTTCTTCTATCTAGGTCAAGATAATAAATCATTAATGGAGAATAACTGCCAAAACTTGCTCAAATTCAGTCAACATCTCCATTGTCTTTGACCAAATTTTGAGATCTAATTCGGTCTTAGCAAAATATTATGGTTTCTTTCAATATTTACCAATAAGGAACCACCATTTGAAACTAGAATTCAAAGCAATTTAATGATCCAAAATAGAATCCCAAACAAACAAGCATTCCATACCTTCCCCATCGTGGGGTATTTCCACACCATGATTTGGTTCTGGGAGTATCCATGAGCGCTCACTAGCTCATTCACATTCTTACACCACGCAAGGTTGCAAACCTGCAAAATTTCTTCTATAAGACAGTATTTTGACAGGTAACTTGGGAAAAAAGCACAAAAAAGTGTATGTGCCTCCAAGTATCCACTTTAATGGTGAATGGTGTTAAATAGAGAATGGGACCCACCATTTGGAGGGCATGTCTTTCTGGCAGGTTCCACTCTTTCTCCATGATCACCACCACATCAATGGATGGCGATGACCCAATTTTGATTACGGTTTTTCATAGACTGTCTCAGATTATATAGCGTACTTTTTCTGTCAAAAATTAGGACCTAACCTGGCTGCCTGTGTCCACTGAATTTAATAGAGTACCACTTGAAGTGTTCCAAAAGCGAATACACCTATCTGCGGTTCCACCTCCAGATGCGAGAAGGCCATGCTGGTGAGGTGACCAAGTAATGGCTTTTACAGCGGCAGTATGCTGTGTAAGCTTCAAGACTGGCTTTGTCGATTGTTGATTCCAAACTAATAACTGAACCCAATCCAAAGAAGCCATTGTTAAACAAGGGATTGAGATTCTAAAAGCTTTCAATTTCTCTCAATCTCTATTTTGCTGAAGCGCGTGTGTGCACAAGAGAGAGAGAGAGAGAGAGAGAGGTCGGAGTATTGAAAGGGTATGATGCTGAAAGGACAGAAAGTGTAATTTACCTGATTATCGTTTCCACCAGAAGCAAGTTCTCGATCATCATGGGACCATTTCAACCCACAAACCTGAACAGAAGCATATAGAAAATCTGAATAATGATAAACTGAGTATGGTTGTCAAAATCTTTCTGTATGTATCAAATCAAATTATATATGCCCTCTCTCTCTCCCTCCCCC